ATGAATGTTACTGAGATGTTCAACGATTTTCACAAAAATATACTTTGTCTCTATACTTATACAAATAACTTAAATCATCTTCATCGAACGGAATTTCGTTTTCTTCTTGTTCTTCAAGAAAGTCCGTATAATCAGTTCTACTATAATCCGTATCATGCTTCTTTGTTTTTTCAGGATGTAATTTTTATAGTCAGTTTCACAGTTTCATAATTAATAAATACATACCTATCATAAGTCCGCTAACATTTTTTGTGGAAATCATTGCTTTCGTGCTCTTCTTTATCCTTTTTCAAAACTTCTTTGCCACAATTACATTCATATTCACTGTTTGTTACTTTGTACTCTTTCTCTTTCTCACGCTCTATCATGTTCTTATAAGCATATTCAATATCACTGTCCCATTTCTCGGCGTCAATGTCCATATATAAGTTTTATGCACTTGTTTATGTATTTATTGTTCTGGTGTTGAATTGGGTTCGAACCCGTTAGAGAAATTCAGTAGTAGGAATAATTTCAGTCATACCTTGTCCTTTCCAATTTTGATAACCGTGGTTTTCTAGCACGTCTAATGAACCAATGTCAGCAGTAATCGCGGCATCATCTAATGTTGCTATAGGGTCACTTTTCTTCTTCAAGCGTAAGTATTGCAGGTTTTTCCGTTGATTAATTCCTGATACAAAAGGTGATGAATAAATTGTAGTAGCATATTTGTTTTAGTGTCTGTTCTTGATTTCTTGAACGGCCGATGAGCCGAGACTATGTCCAACGAGTCTATTGACACCTGGATTTTCCTTAATTATTGCATTGCGTCCTTGTATCTTGCTTGATTGAGCATTAAGAGTAGGAATAAAAACAAATCTGCAATTACATCATTGACTTTGTGGTCCAGTCCTGTTTTAGCACCAGTGCCACCAATATATAGCGTGTCCCCTATTTTTGTTATTCCATTTACATTTGAATCTAAGCCTTTGACATCATCAATTTTGTTTTTATGTTGGACATTGATTTCTTCAGCATAGCGTGTTTTATGTTTCATTATTTGCTTATCAAAATGCTTATTGGAACCTCCTATTTTGTCGTCCAATTTCTTTTTATGGTAAAAAATACATCTTCTAATAAATCCTTACCTGCCGTATATGCCGTCACTTGCTACACCTGCCACTATTTGCGTAGGTGTCTTGCCTTCAATAGCACCTAAAAACAAGTGTCTTCCGATCATAAACTAATAATTATATGTTCTATTGTATTTTATATTTATGAGTGACAGATTAACATATAAAAAATATGTCGATAGTGCTTACACATTACCAGAAAGCAATTCTACCAGCGACTTTGTTATAGAACTTGATCAAAACTTTGAAATTCCACCAAGCACAAAAATGCTTGTCACCGAGTGTTCATTCAGCACTCCTTTTTGTACAACAGAGAAAGGCTTTTATGAAAGATTCTACATTATGCTATATAGTAATACACATGTTTTATTAAGAAGCACTGCCGTTGATATATCCATTAAAAAGTTGTTATGCCAATTATCATTCAAAATACAATCAGAATTAAACGCGGCATTTAATGATATTGTCCCGGATTTATCCTTAACAGTTTATGGACAGAGCGCACGCAAAATGAAACTTAAATTAAACGACCCTATAACTTACAAAATAAAAAACCAACCGATGAAGAATTAGAAACTTGTGTAAATGACAAATGGAACAGAGGACAGTTTGAATATGACAATTTAAGACCAAAATCGAATAATTATGGATTAAGCAATTACACTGCCTACGATCCTGCGACATCTTGGTTAAGTGGATATTTGAATTTAGTCCCTTTTCAAAATGTATAGTAGTTCAGTGATTAAAAAGTTCAAATTAATCAACACCCCGGCGGAGTGATTGGCGACTACACCTCGCCCATATATGCAGATTTTATTGGTGTAGGCGATGACAATATTAGGAGACTACACTTTACAATTACAACTTCAAGAAACGAAGTTATTGATTTTCACGGGGCACCCATACAATGTTCACGTTTGTTTCAATTAGATAACTGAATAAGTGCTATTTTCAAATATAATATTATTTGAAATATGTGCTAATATGTCTCCTAAAATTCCACTGTAGAAAACATAAAGAAAATTTATAGAGCATTATGTATTATTATGTCAGAAGTTGAAACTGAAATTAATAATACGATTGAAGCAGACGAGCCAGTAATGAATTACCACCAATTGAAGCAGAAGCGCAACAACCTCTACCTCAACAACCACGCGAAGCGATGCCACGAGCATTCCCAGCCCCGCCATTGAAAAACAATTCAAAAATAGACCAAATGAAGGACAAGTATACAACCTGTGAAAAATGTGGTGAAAATATGCTCCTAAAAACTGATAGGTATAAGCACGAAAAACTTGTCAAGGTTTATTACAACAAAAGGTAGCTAAGTCACGACTAAAAGCAGTTCCAATAGCAAAGCCTCAAAAAGTAGAATACAATGAAGAAATTCAACAACAACAACGCGAAGCGATGCTACAAGCATCACGCAACAAAGTAATATAGTAGCGAACACACCGCTCCCAAGAAGACAGCCACCACAACAGCCTCCAAACCCGCTACAAAATATAACACAGCACTACCAATCATTACAAAATGAAAATTTGAGACACAGAAGCAAGAAAAATACATTGCATTGAATGAAGGTATATTTGAATCAAGGGGAAGAAAAGATAAACATAGTTCTGTATAACCTACTATAAAAAAATTCTGTTTTCAACATTATCACTGGATGGCTCAAGCAGCATTGTAGCAAGCGAATTAGTATTAATAAATTCAACAGAACCATCAAAGATTCAGTAGTGTTTATGCTACGAAACAAGAACTAGCAGATACAGCAGGTTCATTAGGTGGCGGTTTTACAATTCAAGAAATTGATGCTCTTATGTTAGCACAGAAACATAAGATAGATGCAAACATATCAGCAATATCAGGAATTGACGCAACATCAACAACAATGTTAAATGAACAAGTAGATCAAAACACAAGAACTACAAGCAACCTTACGGCGTACGATCTAGCAAAAAATTCAATACTACCGCCTATATCAGCAAATACATGCTAATAATATTAGTTCTAATACGCTTTATAATTAGTGAAATTAGCAACAGTATTAGTTCCAATTCTTCTTTAATCAGAGGAAATAATTAATAGACATTTAAATAGCGATGCTGTATTAAGACTGGAAGCATCAATAACTATTGATAGTGATATTAATGGCACTAAATATGTACAATTAGATGATACTCAATGTTCATCATTTAATGGATTCAATTTAAGTAGTGATAAGAGACTGAGAGATCGAACTGAACAACCAATGCATCAAACGAATCTCCATAGGTAAATCTGCGGAGGAAAGCATGTTGCTGATCGTGAGCGGCATATTGGATCCCATGACGCAGTGTGAAGTGACAAGGCAACCTTGTCTTGGGCAATTGCTGTGGAATACTAGGGCAGTTGCTACGGCCTTTTAGGCCTGTTGCTCCGGAAGTCTAGGGCAGTTGCAACGGATTTCTTGGGCTGCGTCAGTGGCATCTGTCGCCCATGTCAGTTGGAGCGGTCGCCCTTGTCAGTTGGAAAGGGAGAATTTCTTGAGATTTTGAGGGTTGGAGATTGAGAGTGAAAATTTGTTGGTATGTAGCTTGGATTTTTCGGGTGGGATTTGTTGAGGTGGTATGTAGGTCTGATTGTTGTTATTGAATGAGCGTAGGGGTGACGTTGAGATGGGGTAAGAAGTGAAGATGGGTATGAGAATATGTGTTTTTTGGTGTTGGATTGGTTGGGTGATTGGATTTGAATGTTGAAAATGGGTTGTTTTAGTGGGTGTATTCAGAATGTGCCAAAAAGTGGGGGGGGGGGACCCTATGACTGGATGGCAAATTGCCGATGAACAAGGGCACCTCTAGCTCTAAGAAGATCGAAGAAGCAAACGGGATGGCTGGGAGCCACAAAGTGTTCTTTTCACTTGATGTAAAACCGATTTCCTTTTGACATCAACCCCTGGCTCTGTTGGTAAAATGGAACCCTTAGACTTAAACGCAGGGGTTGTCTTTTCACATCAGCCACTCCGGGTGTCCAAATAGGGATTTGGACCCAAGATGGTTGGTGTCCCAAAGCTTCAAGACTTGGGCCGATTGGACAATACGGGCATTTACAGTTTGGGACAGGGGGGCTGGGACAGGAAGGCTGTGCTTCGGGGCTGTCCCAAAAAGCAGAAAGGGGCTTTCATAAGCCTGGTATCGAAAGACTTTGCGTTGCTTCTTGTTCCCTCCGCCCCACAACAGAAAGACAACACTACACACGAAGGAGGGGAAAACCAAAGAGGCAAAAAAGAAAAAGGCTTGATGCCCCATGTGCCAAGCCTAAGCAAGGAGCAAAGCAGAAGCTCAGTGAACAGGTTGGTTCCGAGTGAATCTCTACTCCGGCGCTGAAACCTTACTGAAATCATGTTTGTGGGAGAGGCGTCACAGGTTGGAAATGCAAAGATGCCTGTTGAGCCTTGCGCCCAAAGGCAAGAAGTCTAGCTGTTTCCTCTCTGCATGCTGCCGGTTGTCCTGCCAACTCACTTGCTGATGGTTGCCTTCTGCTCTGTTTTTCCTTTGTTTTTGTTTTGCTTGTTTTGTTTTGTTTTTTTGGGGAGGGGAGACTCGTTGTTGTTTGAACACAGGGTTCCCTAATGTTTTGTTTTTCTTTGCGAAACATCCCCTCAGCATAACAATCGTGATGACCAGGAAACCCAACAGGCGATCTCTAAGGCCACCAAAAACGGGAAGTTATGCAACCCCCAAAGAGCAAACCATAGGAGCAATCTTCTGAGTGTAACCCCCTTTTTGGTGGGTGTGTTTTGGAAAACCAAAACAAAAACCGCCCGTTTCGGGCGGGGGGTAGTGGGGGGCCTCCACCAAAAAAAAGGAGAGACACGGCCAAAAGGATCGTTTGTCGCCAAGCCGCGGCCCGTGCAGTTCTTCGCGAAGTTGGAAAAATCGTCCTGAGAACGATTTTGGGGGGTGGTCAATATCCCGGTGAAGGAATCTGTTCCCCCCCCCTAAACCAGTTGCGTTCCAGAAGCTGAAGTAAGAATTGGATCCCCAAGTAAAGGATGTTTATCATGGTTTCCGTTCGTTATGCTAGGCAGATTATGATGACTGATGACTATGAAGGATCCTTACCAGTTCCTACCAGGTGGATGATCATCCCTGTCAACCCCCACTAAAGAAACCAGTCCTTTGACCATGGCACATAGAGAACTCCTGCAATATTTCCTGACCACGGCCTCCACATGAGTAGCTTTGCCCGTGTGGGGCAAGTCGAATCCTTTCTTGGCGGTTCTTGATCAACCCCGATGTGAGAAGCGCCGGGCACGAAGGGCCCCATGCGGCAAGATAAGGGCATGCGGATGCCTGAATATTGCAAGTAAACCAAGCACAATCCAGAATAGTTTACACTTTGTTCCCTGCTTGCAAAATTTAGGGCATCCACCTGAGCATTCTGCTTTCCGCCCAAAGTTGTCTACCATTTTAAATAGGGAATCACCCTCACAAGTGGTTGGACATGAACCCACACCGAATTTTGATGCCCACCCTTTAGTATTTTGCTGCCGGGAAAGCGAGCCCAAAGGTTGACGAGCAATTGGCGACACGCACAGCGGAGACGAGTGAGCCTCTGGTGGTCTACTTCAAAGTGTTGCCTTGCAGCTCTCGCAGTGGGTCAGCGTTCGGCTGGTCCGCATCTCCAAAGCTGGCTTGAGTTCTGAACTGAAGTGAAGTGCAACCGTGGCATGAGTTGATTTTTTTTGCAGGGAAATGTCCTCTTCCCACTTTAACATTGAACCTGCACGTCATTTTAAGTTGCCAAAGTTGACTGAACAAGCCTAGGATGGGGCCAAGCCCAGTCATATCAAGCCTTGTGTCTACTATGCGTGCATGACTGTCTTGGCCCCTGTAGCCTTGGCCCCTGTAGCCTTGGCCCCTGTAGCCTTGCCCCCTTGAGGCGTGTGCTTCCAAGTCTATCAAGGCGTATTGTGGGAGTTTCCTGCCCTGAGATCTCTGAAGACGTTCATTTGCCATCTCCCTCGCACATCAAACACACAGCCGCTGCCACCTCCAAGAAAAACAAACACCCCAGTCCATCAATGCCATGACGAGCCAAGGAAAGTAGTGCCAAGATTGGAGATTGAGTCACTTTAGCAAAGGAACACAAGATGTGCTCAACCCGGGCAGGGCTGAATGGGTTTGTCTTGAAATGGTGAACACAAAAAAATGGGTGGTTCCAATTTAGTCTCCCTTTCAAGCCCCACACGGATACATCCCAAAACAGCCGGAAGCATGCCGGCCTGGGTATTGTCACTCCACTTGTAGTGAGTGTCTTGGTCCAGGTCGGTGTAGCCGATCCAAGCACTCAGCCCGCCAGTCCTGGCAAAAATCCAAGCATGGAAATATACATAAAAGGCAGGAGCCATAATGCATCTCATAAGCCCCTTCAAACAAATCCCTCACCTGCCAATAAATAGCTGTTCTGTTGCTGCATTGAACCTGGCAATAAGCCATTGGTTGCACGTCAAAATCCCTACACCCCTGAGCAGAGAAAGCGAAGGAGCGCGAAGCCACTGGAAAGAACTCTTTGGCAAGTACACATCCTTCATTCCTCACCGCCAATTATAACGGCAAACTGGGGATCTCCAAATACTGAAACCGCTGCAAATGGCCCGTTCTGGTGGCTGGCTGAGTGCGGCACAGTGCGAAGATGAACCTGTTCTCAGCCTTGGCGTGAAGAACATGTGCAAAGGCTCCCATCGACAACTTGGGTTTGTCTTCTTTTCGAGGGTATATATCTTGTTCCTTGGTTTAACGGGAAACCTCCAGAAAACCGAAATGATTCTAAGACACACCCAGTTCGTGCTTGACTCTAGAGCTCGCACTTGGTGTTCCAAACTTAGGTCCTTCGCGCCGTGCATTTGTGACCACAAACAAATCTTGGCAATCTCAAAAGGAAACTCACCTGAACATGTAAAAGTGATGCTTGAATGCCCAAAAAAGGAACATAGGTCATCGGCCGAGTCATGGGTTCGTCTCAAAATGCTTGGCTTCCTTTTGGTCTCCACTTAAAACCCAAAAAGGATATATGGGGGTTGAGCAATATTCCTTGCCCCCACATGACCATGGGTAACTTTTCCCATCTGGTGGTTGAAGTATCTAGTGACGTGGTCCCCAGAAAGGCTTCTCAAAATTGGGGGACTCCCAAGAAGATATGCAGGTTTCCATTGGTGGGCTCCAATGTCCAAATACCAACAAATTAGGGGACCAAAACAAATATACAATGGGTTTACTTCGGTTGGCTCCGAATACAACCCGCATATAGAGCCCCCACATAGACGCCCGACGACATGAGGCCGCAGCCCTGGAGTGAACGGAGGCCAGATGGGAGCCCTCCCCGTATTGCCGGCAGAAGGCTTCCGCCTACGCGCGTCTTTGGAGAGCGCCCGAGGTTCTTGTTGGGTTTACAAGGAAACCAAAAGGAAAACCGCCAGTTTTTCGGGGTAGCCCAAAAGAAAAGACACCTGTTGAGGACAGGTTTGTTCAAAGAGAAATCAAAGAGAACCGCTTAGAAAGGAGGCCCCTTTCTGCAGATCAAGGACCAAAGCGGGCCTCTGGCCCAGGCTTTCTGTAGCGTCTCAGAGGAGCATGAGATCCAAAATGGAAGACATTTGCTGTGAATGTGTTGCATGGAGTATTGTTTTCCCCCCCACATCCCGTCACAAAGTCTGCCTCAAACCAGGTCTTCTTGTCCCAGAAGTGCTTGTAGCCTGAGGCAAGCAGTCTCCAGTCAAGACGCCGGGTTTCGAGTGGAGATATTTGAGCTGCAGCATTAAACAATTAAACACCTGGATCTTGTTTGGACTGCCAGCGACCTGACGACCATCAGGAACGCCCGGCTGACGAGTCCTCTGGACCATCGGCTTGCTTGAAAAATAATGACCGCTGTCAGCTGACCGATCGGGACTTTCACATCAACACTAAAAGCAACCCTTTGGGAGGCGCAGGAATCCATAGAAAGCACGGGCTATGTGAGCGATGCCTGGCTTCAGATGATTTGGGTCTGGGCACGGATGACTTCAAGCACCAAGTAGCTGAGCATCAGACATCAAATACTTGCAGGACCTCATGGCTCCAAATGCAAAGAACCAGAGTCGCCAGCAGCCTAAGGGACACCGATTGTTCTTTGGATTCGGCCCACATCCAACCATTCTGTGACATGGGTGGCCCAAAGGAGGTGTCAGGGAGAGTCCCGCGGATGTAGCCAGAACTGCTTGCTAACCTCCGGTTGTCTCCAAAGATTTGTAAGACAAATGGCCCACCACTCCCCTTGGGAACTCCGGCAGAAAGCGTCCCACTGGGACCATCCGCTGGGACAGGCCCCTGGGTGGTAGACCTGGCCAGTTCGGCGAACGACGCGAAGATGCTTAGGAACAGGACAGCAAGGGAGCTGAAACCTGCCCCAGGAAGTACTTTAGTACTGGGGCCCAGCTCCTGGCACGGAAGTCAACAGATCCCCCATGTCCTTTTCTCTTCGTTTGGGGGGGGGGGGCTCTTTTGGTGGCGCATTCACCAAAGACTCGGTGAAGCCAATTCCCACGAAAGGGTCCACAGCTTCAGCCTTCGTTTTCCCAAGCTCTTGGAGTGAAGTGGGACAAGACGTGGCTGTACATGGAACCAAGGACTACCTGCGGTCCCTTGGTATGCTGACGTATACCGGATGGAAATGAAAGGGCAGTCAAGAAGATTGACCGGCAATTGACATCACAAACATTCCGTCCAAACACGCTGCTTTCCACCTGGAGTCTCCGAGAACCATTGGTGGGCATCTATTTGGGTATGTCTCAAAACTCAAGACTTCTCCAGGTGGCTGGCTTGAATTTTCCACAAGGGTGCCAGCTCAAAAACCTCCCATATGCGCATCACGCACCTATTTGCAGTTGGAGCTGCCTCCACAACAATCCTAGAACCTGCATGGGGGGGTGGAAGACAATTGTGCTCTTCCAGGGACATCTTTTCAGGCTCCATTGTTTGTTTTCACCTTTCCCTACATTTTAGATGAGAGACAACACAAATCCCATTCTGGGGAGAAAAATCAGTCCTTTACTTAGCCACAACCAAACTGTGCCATCTACTCTCACCTGGAATTTGTTGGACGCTCCTTGCCCTCCCACTTTGGGTGAAATTCGGACATCCCACCACTAATCTAAAAAGCGAAGTTGAACCAAAGGGACGGCTGGACTTGAGCCACCAAGCATGGGAATCTGATTTCTACCCAAAAAAACGATCCCAACCCTCGGTATGGCTTTGAAACCAAAGGGATGGACCTGGCTGAGCTGCTCGGAGTCGTAGGTGGCAGCCACCGACACCGACTCCTCGCAAGGGAAAAAAGATAGCCAACTCGCAGTGGGTGGTTTTCGGTGTTCAGGGGGAACCACAGTGTTGATTTTCCGTTAAAAAAAGAAGTGGGTGATGAAAGACGCTTCTCGTGCTGGTTAGAAAGGGGAACCAAAAGAAAACCAGCATTTCGTGACTTGTGGAGTGGTGCCCCAAGCAAGTGAACCAACAAAAAAGAACTGGAGGTGAATTGCAAGGTTTCCTTGTTCCCCTTACATTGTTTAGGAGACCTACCCTACCAAAGTAGACGCCCTTGAACCCATTTGTTTTTGAGCTTGATAAGCCCAAGCAGGCCAAAAGGGAAGCTGAGGCTGTGCTGTTTGTATCTCAAATGACGCGCGTTGTGTGTCCACGCTGGCTGTGTGAACCTTGCTGTGATTTATGGTACTTGGATGGTCTGGGACGAATCGCTAAACGAGTAGAAACGCTGGTCGGGGACTTACAACCACGGCTTTGGTGGGTCACATCCATGATTACTAACCACTTGGCGATTCCTCCCAGACCATCTAAGTAGCGAGCACAAATGGAAAGTTGCCTTGTTTCTGCCGAGAGATGAATCTGGGCGCCGTTCCTGACCTGCAGCCAATCGTCTCCAATCAGGAGGCTGGGGCACCCTTTTCCGCGGCTTTGAGCCAAGAGAAACCACCTGCTTGTGGTTTGGTGTCAATATCAGAAGAGTTTCCCTCAAGCCCTGAATGGATTCAGAAAAAGCCTCACCCGGATGGGTGAGAGGCATGAGAAACCATCCGGATGCCGCAGAGGCCACTCCAGTCGAAGGCACCTTGTCACCATTGCCGCACCAGTGATGGAAGTCCTGCAATGGCATGTCGCTGACATTCACTGATTCACAGTGTCAGAAAAGGACGAAAACATGGGACTTCAGGAGTGGACCACCTCTTGTAGGCCAAAATCGAAACCGCGCCATGGGCAAATCCTGCATCTACCCCACCGCCCCACATTTCACCGACTCAACCCGGTGAGGCTTGGAGGTCTCCTCTTGGCATGAAGCTTGGTCAACTTGCTTGATTGAGACAGATTACGGTATTGTAAAAGGTGGAACCAAGGGGAACCCGATTGTTTCCTGCAATTTCCAGGGTTCTTTGTTTGGATGTCTTGCTGAATCTCTGATGGGTGGCGCAAGGGCTTCTCCAGAAGCGGCGTGGCCTTTGCGCGGGCTTCTAGATGCTGAAACTTTGGCTGGGCCAGCAACCAAGTAGTGACGCCACCCGCAAGCGCAAAAATGCTGCCTTCCCCGCTGCCTCCAAAGAATCCTAAGGAAAACGACCGACTTCTGTGCATCCAGACATGTCGAGGTCAGACAGCCTCAAGGAACCGAGAAGCTTCTGAGAAGGCTCAAGCCGGGAAAGCTGAACACGCAGCCCTTCCCCCAGCAGCCCTTCCCCCGCATCCTCTGCTCTCTTCAAGCAGGCGGCATCGTTTCCACCAGCATTCACCTCCCCACGAAACAAGTCGGTCACTCACTGGCGTGCTAGCAGCAGAACACCTGTTTCAACGGTTACATTCGCCCGTACGGGGTAAAGCCCAAGTACTTTGCACACTGCCCGCAACATTCCAAATCTGGGCGCATTCCAAGATGATCTCTCCGAGATCGCGGCGTGGGTCTCGCCGATGTCATCCCGGAACTGCCTTCGCTGGTAGTCCGGGAAGTTCTGGCCTCTCGCGTTGCACGTGCTTCGCTTCAAGGCAGTAATATGCCACATGAACTTTGAGGTTTGAACAGCATGGCCTGGGCACAACATCACCCTCTTGCAGGCACTGCTCCTGCGTTCAACAGCTCTCATTGTCGAGCAAGCTCCCACCACAGTGGAGGCAACTGCCAAAGTCTAGACTTCCACCCCCCAAAAGGCGCGGCCCCTGAGCCATCGGCAGACTTTGGCGGTGATGGTACATCCAGCCGGCGCCTGCAATTAACATAAACATGCATTCTCGCATTCTCGCAACTTTCAAACTTTGGCCACGAAGCTGTTGCATATGAAACTGATGCCCCCAGCAGTTCCTGCCTGGCACAATGGAGAAATGAGAACCCGCAGACGGGTATCTAGCTTTCATGTCTCTCTCCATGGCTTTCGCGGAGACACAACCCCAACGCAACCCCGCCGAAAGCGAAAGCCGCGCCTCGCCACGCGCATGCAGCCACAGCAAAAGCGCGCGCCAAGCGGCGCCTGAGGCTTGGAGTGAAATGCTCACGATCCGAAGAACTCGGCTAAGGGCAGGGAATGGTGTTGGTCTCAAATGACTCCGTCAAATGAACAGGTCTCTCCTAACATTCGAAACTCGAAAGCTGCTTGCTGTGCTTGCGACCGCATTCGCCCATTCTGGAATCTGAAGAATCTGTTCCAATTGAAGCGTTAAAACCGACCCCCCATTTAAAGGGAGAACCTGGGTTTCAAAGACTGAGGAAAGGCGCTGCAACTTTGGACCTGATACTGTGAGCATCTGCTTTTGTTCTGTTTGCATCTGGGGGAAGGCAATGACCTGGTAGCTCGCAGCAATATTTTGTTGAAGAATTCAAAAAGCGCTGCGATCGCGTCTTTCGGGACAGACTTTCCATGTTCGTCCCCCGTGGCTTTCGACCTTGTGGCCTGGAAGAAGGAGGGTGAGCCTGAGTCCATGAGCCGAGTTCGGGCAACATTTTGTCCCCCGTTCCCGTTTGATCAACGGAAGCTACGATTCGGTCAACCCGGTTGATGAAGGCTGGGTCTTTCTTTTGGAGTTTCAATCCGAAGGGTAGACTGTATTCTGCTGGCACGCTTCTTTGTTTGGCCTGTTCGCTTCTTCGCCTCTTCGGCTGTTCGCACCGAAGCGACGCGCCGGCGTGAGGGATCCCAAGCTTCGATTGAGGTATGTAGATGATTTGTGAAACGGTCAGGAGATTTCGGCTTGGCGCTTCCCTTGGATGCAATGCCTTCAAGTCTTGCGATACCCAATCCGCTGCACCCAAGTGAAGCCGCTTTGATGGGACTTGGCCCATGAACAGCCTGCCACCCTTTTGTCCTTTCCATGCCAAAGGCTTTGTATTTTGGTATGGGTCAAAATTAACCAGGCGACCGCAGGCTTGTTGCCATTTGCCAGGGCAACCAGATTTTGGGTGCTTATTTTTGACGCACCAACTGAATCTGGTCCTTTAAGCCGAAGGCTCGTCCGTTCCATGACACCGAGTTGCGAGGTCCATTCAAGTCCAGAGATTCTGCATCTGGAACGCTACCGCAACAGTGCTTGTCAAATTGGAATTCTGCAGATTCACTTTTGCTTTTTCATCTGGAACCCCTGAAAACAAATAGGTCTGCCTTGTTTAAGGGGACCCCCGAAACGATGATTGTCCCTTTGGTTTCCCTTTGAAACCGGAAAAACAGCAAGGGTGTCCCCAAGCAAACAAGGCTACCCCCGTTGGTGTCCCTTAAAAAACATGTAAACTACAAAAACGAACCATGGGTGCCCCCAAACACAAAGCACACCCTACTCGGCTTTGCGGATCGCCCCGGCCTGGTGCGGGAGCCATCCGCCGCGCAGCCGCAAACCGCGCTTGAGCCAAACAAAAGCGGCACGGGTGCCCAAGCCGCCGCTGTGGGGGGGTCTCCAAATAGGAATTCGGAATTCCCCCCAAAGACCCCAAAAGGTTGTGGTGCCCTTCTGCTTGAAGCAAACCCCCCCAAAGCTTTTGTTTGCTTCCCCTTTCAGATAACCCGCCATGGCGTCCTCACACTGGAGGACTCGGCTCAACATTGAAGGACCTTCGGGAGGCCTTCCCAACTGCCACGGTGCGGATGCATTCAATGGAGCTGCTGGGTCAGATGTATTTGCGCAGGAGAACTGGCTCCTTATGTTTTCTTTCTGGTGGTTGCCCATGTCACCCATGTCCCCCCCAAACTAGCAGTAGATCACTGATGTTGGCAGTTGCTTGCATGGAAACATATGGAAACGAATTGTGCTCCAGTGCATTCAAATGCAATTGCTGCGTGTGGGCATCTGGTCTTCGGCTTTGGAAGTCTCACCCGTTTATGAAGCAAAAATGGCATTGGTCTTTCAAGCTCCATGCAAGCGAGTCCGGCTCCAAATGCTCCTTCGTCAACAAGCAGCAATCCTGGTTGCCTTTGTTGAATGCTGGCCCTTGCCAAAAGCCATGCTCACCACAAGCCGTTCCTCAAACCCGCAAGACCAACTCTGGGCAAAAAGTCGGTCCAGTCAATCAACCTGTGAATTGAGTTGTTCGGCTCCCCGCCCCACCTCAGACTGGCCAGCTGAAGGCTGCACCTGCACCTTCACGGCCCATGGAGGGGGGGGGGACCAGGGGGATATCGGGGCCGGCGAAGCTGGGAACACAAGACAAGGTTCCAACTTGCTTCACATCATCGAAATTACCAGATTGCAACGAAACCTACCGTGGATGGTTGCGAAATTTGTTCGCACCACGGAATGAAACCATGGGAAACCATTGTTGGTTGGTATTTACAGGGAAATCCATCATTCCAGAGTTTATTAGGTGGTGCAGGATTTCGTCCATCCACAATATTGCCAAGTTGGAAAAAACAAAGACGAAGAGGCCTCATGAAGGTCACAAGCAGGTCAAACCCTTTGTGAGCTCGCTTGACGCTTTACATGAACAGCCGGACACGTTTTTGGAAACTCCCGGATTCATGAGATCCACCAAAGAGCGGCGTGAACCCAGGATGCCTGCGTGGATAACAATACGTCCGATGAAACAAACGGTTGCGTTTCACGGCTTTCCTGAAGCTAGCTCCAAGCATATGTTCGAGTTGATCCCTTCATTCACGTGAAGCTGGCCCTAAGCATGCAACAGCACATGGCCATGCCCTCACAATGCAGTCAGGGAAGAATGATTAGACTTTGGGCCGCTCAATTCCCATTTAGGTGACTTTGCGTCTAACTACCGCCCACAGCGGAGAGCTCTAACATCAGCTGGAAGGTCGTTCCTTCCTACGAAGCTGGCCATATGTTG